ATCTCTTCAGCCGTCTTTGCCCCGATATCCCCTCCGGCTGCATTGTCCACCATGTACTGCAGGTTCTGGTGGAGGGAGTCGTAGAAACAATTTGCCAATAGCTCGGGAGAGAGATTGTGATGGGGCCACTGCCTCTGGAGGTCCTTGAAATGTTCCCAGGCCTCGTGAAGAGGCTCGTGTGGCAGTTGAGCGAAAGAGACAATCTGGGACCGGATGTCCTGAGTATTCTGATGGGAATAGTATTTCCCAACAAATTTGGAGTATACTTCTGCCCAGGTTGTGAGAGAGTTCGTGGCGAGGGTCATGAGCCACGCCTTGGCTCGGTCTTTTAAGGTATCCGGGAAACACCGCATTCTGAGTTCGTCCTCACTTAGCCCGTGTAAAGGAAACGTCTGGAGGACGTTGTAAAACTCCCGGAGAAAGTGGAGTGGGTCCTCGTTGGCGAGCCCGTGGAATGATAAGAGCTGATTGTAGTGGACCACCTTCAGCTCGTAGTTGCGGGCGGCTTCTGGCAACTGGATGCAAGACGTTATTGGCCCGATCATGGGCTGGGCCAGATCTCGAAGGACATTGCGATGAGGTTGTTGTTGTTGTTGTTGAGCCATGTTCGAAGTACTCCCCTCAGATGATTTTGGAGAGTGCTGGTCTTTTTCTTCGGATTCCAGTGTAAGCTCGTCTAGCAACTCTCTCAGGCTCTCGCTAAGTGACTTGTTGATTGGAGATAGCAATTTGCGTCCACTCCTGGTACGCATACACCAAACCAACAAGGGTTACGAGCACCAATGATAGATAAAAGAAAATAAAATGAAAATAAAAGAAAACAAAGAACTAACACCTAACAATTAAAAAGAACACAAGAGAAACACGAAAAATAAATTGAATAAGCGCACAAAATACGTCCTAAACCCTCCACGGCAACGGCGCCATTTTGTTGTAAATATTTTCCGGAGCAGAATCAAAAGATTCGACACCGGGCCGTGTCTCACGAGGAAGGTCAGCCGTAATACTAAGCACGTTTATTCAATCACTCAAAAAGGGAAAATAAAGAAAGTAAATACTTAAACATACTAATTCAGATGATTGGATGGTTTAAATTATCAACTACTGCAATTAATTGAATAAAGCAATAAAAGTAGCAAGACAACGAAGAACAATAAGGATTTGAGAAGCTAGGGAGTCGGGGATATCCGTTTCGGTTCGAAATACAATTAGTGGGCAAGTGATTATTCAGTTAAGTGATTTGAATAACAAACACGTTCTAGAACTCATTCTCAATAACTCTTCATAACAAGAGAACAAACTAGAACGGCAATTACCAAGTCATTTAACTCCTAGGCAATACAGTTACGAACAAGCATAGCTTATGCAAACCTTTTTCGACCGACTCCTCCCCTTTCGGTTCTAAGAGTCGATAAAAATAAGACTAGAAGATGATTAACCGACTAATCAAAAAGATTTACCAATATCAAACACGAATTTATCGAACTCAATTGAATTAATTGGAAGTTGAAGTGTCACTCTTCAACAATTCTCAAAACTCTAGTTTGATTATTGAAAAACCTAATAAAGAACAATTTGCATAAGACGAACAATCATCGGAACCCACAACCGCAATCGAAATGAAAACATTTATCCCCTATCCTAGCATACGGATTTAGCTACTCATGATTGATTCAACATCAAAATAATCATCAACCCAAGCAAACATCATCATATCAAAATAAGAAAAGGAGTGCTTACGATTAATATAAATCCAATGTCGAGAAAGCAAAGAGAAATCCAAATCCAAAAGCTAGAAAAGGAGTTTTTACTCTCCAAGATCCAATCCAAGCAAAACCAAGTGAAAGATATGTTTTTCGAGTGAAAAAGTATGAAAAAGGATGTTCAAAGATGTCTAAAATCTGCCCTAGCCTCGACCTTTAAGTCCTCCAATTCAAAATTCCGAGAAAAACGAAACAGTTAAAAAAAACAGACCTTAGCGGCGCTAACCCTTCTTAGCGCCGCTAAGCCACCTTAGCTGCTGTTCGCTAATTATTTTTGCTATCCGCAAGTGTACGGCGTAGCTGCAGAAAGCGGCGAGCAAGGTCGTATTCCACAGAGACTGTTGTTTAAACCAATTAAGTACTAAAATAATAACGATTAAATATTATTTAGACTAACGAATGAGATGATGATTTTAAACTATGAAATTAAACTAAGAACTAATTTACCTAAAACAATAAAAATAAATCAAGATATAAAAGATAGATTCTAGGTTCTGCTTTCCTCGGAATTAATTCACGAAACGTTTATATTCATATAAACCTTATTTAATTTTACCAATCGTAGAGATAATCGCTAAATTGATTTCAACCTTTCTCTCGAACAAGCAAATCGTAGATATTAATTGTTATCTATCTCCTCTCGGTCTCAAGATGAACAACTAACTCCCATAAAAGTTCCTAGGATTTTCGTTCTCTCGCAAGATTTTATCAACCTCTCGGTCTATTTAGTCTCCTACGTTATAAATTTCTCAATTCTAGCAATCAATTATCTCCTCTCGGTCTCAAATCAATTACAAATATGCATTCATAGTGGCCATCTACTCACACAATAATAATACGCACAAGAAATTTATAAACGAAAGATAAACCGGAATGAAATAAATAAAAACTAAATCATAAATCAATCCGAGTACTAACAAATCCTAGAATCCAAAATAAATTAGCCTAGAAACATGCTTTCAAAATAAATATAAAACATTGAGTTCGAAAGAAGAAAAGAAAAAGAAAGAAAAAGCTTATTCGGCTCCGTCGATCCCTTCTTCCTAGCTTTCTCCCTCGTCTTGCTCGTGTTTCTAGCCTCCAAAGCTCTTCAAAGATCTGAAAATTAGGTTCTAGCCCCTCAAAAACGTGTCCAAGTGTCTCTTAAATAGATGTGGTCGAGTCCTAGTCGAAATAGGTCGAAAAAAACAATAAAAATAGGGAAAACGCGTAAAATCCGTACAAGTCGCGCCCAGGGTCACACGACTCGTGTCTCCGGCCACACGAGTCGTGTGAAAAAGTCGAGAGCTGGATTTACGACCCGACGGAACGACACGAGTCGTGTCGGATGTCACACGGCTCGTGTGAACCTGGGAGTTCAAAACAGCTCCAAATCCAATCCTATGTATAGCTCACGGCTCC